TTGACCAATTCTCTCTAATATTTGAGCATCTCACCATATTTCTTAATTCCAAGCATTTTAATTCTTCAAGTATTTTAGTTTTCAAACAATTCACAAAACCTCCCTTTTTGTTTATGTAACGCCCCGATTCTCAGGTATTGATTTTCATATAAGATTTTCTTGATTTCAAGGCCTACTCGACGAGTTGGTTGCCCTACTCGTCGAGTAGCAGCTGATTGGTCAACGTGTTTTAGTGACCTACTCGCCGAGTCCAAGAAGGGACTCGACGAGTAGGAGCTGGCAGATGAAACCCTAAACCCCAAGGTATTGCACCCTATTTAAAGGATCATTTGCTTTCCCCAGCCTCCCCTTTACAGCTCCTTGGCACCCTCAAACCCTAAATCGTGTGTGTGTTTCTTTGGTGTGATAGAGCTTGGAAGAGAGATCTTGGTGAGGAACACTTGGAGGAAACAAGTAAAATCGAAGCTAGGAACTCATGGGAAGCAAAGATATACATCAATTGACACTCTCTGGAAGGTATTAAGCTGTCTCTTTGGCTCATCTCATCTTTAACCTCTTTTTGGGTGGGTTTTAGGAAAGGCTTTTGTGTTTGAGCCAAGATCTGAAGTTGCAACTTCAGATCTGGACTCCCTTTGGTCTCTAGATCCATAAAGGTAGTAGCTTTGGCAAGTATGAGCCTTCCCTCAAGTGTTGGACTTCATTTCAAGCTTAGTTTTGTCATTTTAGGGCCTTAAAGCTTTGCATGCACGTAAAGTTTGCAACTTTACGTGGTAAGTAGGCCTTGGAAGGTTGGATCCGCAATCTGGAGCCTTTGCATGGCTTAAAAAGCATCTGTATGGATAAAGGTTTGAAGGGACTCGGCGAGTCCGATGAATTTGGTCGTGGGCTCGACGAGTGGGATGAGTAACTCGGCGAGTCCGATGAAGATTGCCCTGGACTCGGCGAGTCAGTGAGTGACTCGGCAAGTTGGTGAAATTAGGCAAGAACTCGGCGAGTAGTTGAGCGTGCTCGACGTGTTGAGGTTAACATGGATTGTTGACCTTGCCAGCTGACTTCTGGGGGTATCTCGGGAATTTATGAACTTTCGGAAAATTGGAAATTTATGAAAAGGGGTTTTATGGTAACTGTAGGTGGTGTAGTTCGTGTTGGTGATTCGAGAGTTGAGCCTATCACTTCAGTGCGACATTTGGGAGGTGAGTTATCCTCACTATATCAACAGGGTCTAAGGCACCAAGGCCGGCCCTTTACAATTTACATCCTGGGTTAGGATGGTCGCTATGTTACTACTATGCTAGATTTCATCCTGGTTTAGGATGGTTGCCATGTAGATTACATCCTGGTTTAGGATGGTTGCCATGTAGATTACATCCTGGTTTAGGATGGTTGCTATGATTATTGTTATGCTAGATTTCATCCTGGTTTAGGATGGTTGCTATGTTATATTTCATCCTAGTTTAGGATGGTTGCTATGCTAGAGATCGGTTAGATCGGTATCCTGGTTATAGGATGGTTGCCATGTTAGTGGTCTGTTAGATCTGCATGTTTACTTGTTTATATATATGTACACATGTTTGTTGGTTTGGGGAAAGGGTTGAGGCAGGTCATGCTGTGTGCAGTAGGCCAAGACACCCTGGGCGGACCGGGTAGACTGCAGGCCCGGGCCGGGCAAATCTAGTCAGGCCGAAGGCCCAACGAGCGGTCCGGATAGGCTGAAGGCCCCGAGGAGGGCGGTCCAGACGTGCCGAGGGCTCGGAGAGCGGTCCAGACAGACTGAGGACCAGGATTTGGTCCAGTCAGACTGATGGCTCATTATGCATGCTGTTTGCTTATATGTTATATGATATGATTATGATTGTATGGCGTTGGTATTTTGGGGGTAACTCACTAAGCCTTCGAGCTTACATTTATCGATTATTGTTTCAGGTACTTCTGATGATTGCGGGAAGGCAAAGGCGTGATCGTACCGCTCCTCACATTTTATGATTTGATTCTGGGATACTCTGACAATATACTATTTTGAAAACAAGTTTGTAATAATCATGTGTTTTGAAATGTTTTAAAAAGTTTTAAATTGGCTCGAATTTTATGGATGTTACAGTTTAATTGTAGTTAGTTAGTTTTATTTCACTTGTTCTATTGGATTTCATTGATGATTGAATACAACCATTTTCCCGTAGATCGATCCCTTTTTTACTACCATATTACGTTTTATTTGCAAGCAAAAGGGTATGATTTTCTTGGTGGACTTCACATAGCCTTTATCGGGGATATTGGTTTATTCTTATTTGATTGTTTATTCCTAGTTTTATAAGAACTAGTGAACTACTCTATGATCTCTAGATTTAAAAAGAAGCAAAAAGGTTGAAAAAGTTAGCCAAACAAGCAAAAAAAAAACAACTCATTTAAGCTTCTTCTTCTTCTTAACAAGTCACCATAGGAGACCAAGTTCATACTTCAAGTGATACCGACACTGAACCGAGTTCTCCAATTGTTGGTCATTTCATTGAAGACGTTCCATTTGAAAACTAAATAAATAACCATGAATCAGACTCCACCTCATAATCCCAACCCATATAATCAAGATGCCAATACCCCACCCCAATAACAAAGACAACCTCAACACCAAGAACCTCTAATAGATGTGCTACCACTTTGGAATTATGAGAATCCTAACTTACCCCGTCCTAACCAAAATCAACCAAATTTCCAAAAACTACAACAACAAAACCAAAACCTCCACCAAAACAACCAACCTCAAAACAATGTTCTTCAAGTTGAACAACAACAACCCATTTACCAACAACCTCAAATGTACCAATATCTTATGTATCCACAACAACAAGCCATCTACAACCAATATCCTAACTATCAACCATACCCACCATAAATGTTCAATCACCAACAATACCCATACCAACCGTATCAACAACCTCCCAATTACATGCAACAAAATCCCAATCCACCCAATCCCCCTCAAGAGTTGACACTTAGATAAATGATCGAAATGGATGTTACTTACACACTTCTTGGTATCGTTTATCCCGCAAACCGTCGAGGAATCGAATTGAAGTCATATTTCATACATCAACTCACCAAGTTCCATGGTTTAGATAGAGAAGATCCTCAAAGTCACTTGAAATCTTTTAATATGACTTGTGTTAGTATGTTGCTCGTGTTGGATTAGTGTCTAAGTCCATAACTATTTTGGTATGTACTTGACCCGATTATGAGCATGGTCCTTTTGGGTTGCCTTCACCATAGCAATATGTAGGATGAATTAAGGAGAGAAAGGTTTAATTATGATTTATTAATATATTATAAGAATAATATATTAAAGGAGAAATCATATTGTTTAATTAATATTAGTCAAGAATTAATTAAGAATTAATTTTGTGACTAAAAGAGATTAATTAAACTTAAGGGACTTATTGTGTAATTATAAGATAATTACATAATTGGGCTATGGATCACCTTGGAATAATAGGTTGGACGAATTCTATGGGGAAACCCATTAGAAATCGTCCAAGGCATGTTCCAGAAGGGGTCCATGGGCTGCTTAGGGCTTAAGCAATCAGATTAGGGTTTCCTAGTTGTAAACCCTAATAGCCAGCATATATAAGGAACCCTTATGGCCCCAAAAACGTGGTGAATACTTCCTTTAGGGTTTCCAGCCGTTTTTGGTGCCTCCTCTCTCCTCCCTCTTCATCCAAGTTGCTTAGTGGTGTTTGTGACTCCATTAGAGGTGCAACACTTGAGGCACTAAGCTTTCTGAAGCCAATCAAAGCAAGGAATTGATTGTTATTACTATATAACAATCAAAGGTAATTACTAAACCCTTATTTCAGTTCTTATATGATAGATCTAGGGTTTATAGCGTTGGATATTCAATTGCATGTTCATTAGACAAACTAGATCCAAAAGCTATTAGGGTTTGCATGTACACCATAGGAATGATGTATTGCTCGAAACCCATCAGGTCGAACATGTGATATTGGATGATTTCAGGTTAATCACATTTCCACTCACCTTGGAAGATAAAGCTAGAGAGTGGTTATTCAAATTACCACCATGATCTATTCACACATGGGAAGGGAAGAGTTACTCAAAGCCTTTAATAGCAAGTTCTATCCCACATCTCGAATATCAAGTCAAATGAGTGACATTTTGGGGATTCGTCAATGAGGGAATGAGACTTTTCATGATTTTTAGGAGCGATTCAACAACTTGTGTACAATATACCAAAACAACTAATTCTTTAACAATTTTATGAGGGTATGAATGAAAAAGATCGGAGGATGATTGATGTTTCAAGTGGCAGTGACATATTCAACAGGACACCTCAAGAAATAAGATCACTTTTTGCTACCATTTCTCAAAAATCAAAGAAATTATGGGACTCGAAGTGACATGCAGAGAAGTTCTCCACTATTTGTTGGTAAAGTTAGCAACACCCAACATTTGGAATTAAAACTCTCGGATTTGACTAATGTGTTGAGTCTAATGGTGGTCGGTAGTGGTCAACAGTTGATGGTTTGTGGTCTTTGTGCAATGACGGGGCATTATACGGATAAGTGTCCCATGTTTGGGATTGAATCGGAAGATGTTAATGCAATGAGCGGATATCAAGTTCAACCAAGAACCACGAGATTTCAAAGCACATACAATTCAAATTGGAGGAATAACCCAAACAACCAATACCCACCAAAGCAAGCTCCACAAAATACTTTGATGAGACCCCAATATCCATAATATTCATCATAAAAACCTCCATTTCCACAACATACCCAACCACGATATGCAACACCACAAACACCTTATCCCCCTCCAATTTACTAACAACCTAAAAAACAAGCACAAACAAGTGGTAACAATCAAATAAGCCTTTAAGAACTTGTTACTTCTCTTGCTCAAAGTTAAACACAATTTCAACAAAAGACAAAAAAAACACATTCTCCAACATTCAAGCTCAAATTGGAGACTTGGCTACCGATCTCAACAAGATGGAACAATGGGGTAAACTTCCATCTCAAGCCGAGAAGAATCCTAATATGAATGCAATAAATTTGAGAAGGGGGAAATCTCTTGGAGAAAGAAACCTCAAAAGAGCCTCAAGAGAAGAAGAAAATGAGGTTATTGTTGTTGAACCTACAAAGGTGGTAATTCCTCCAAAGGAACCGTTTGTGACAAACATTGATCAACTCGAATCTTCCAACAAAACTATCAAGCCATTGGTCATTCCACCACCCTTACCTTCCCGATTAGCCATCTCAAAGAAGAATGGGGAAGAGAAGGACTTCCTTGAAACTTTCTGCAAGGTCCAAATCAACATTCCACTGTTGGATGTCATTAAGCAAATTCCAAGTTAATGCAAATTTTCTCATGGATTTGTGCACCAACAAGAGAAAATTCAAGGTGAATGAACAGATTCAGGTCAATGCAAACGTATCCACGATTATCCAAAAGAAGTTACCTCCCAAATGCAAGGATCCTAGAATGTTTGTTATACTTTGCATTATTGGTGATTTACATGTTGAAAATGCTATGTTAGACCTTTGATACACAACACCAGTTTTCTATGTATGGATTTTAGACATTTGTCTTTCATGTCTATTCGTATCGACATGAATTTTAAATTCGTGTTTTATGTATTAGATGTGTGAAACACAAATTCACATGTTTAAACATGTATAAGACACGAATTAAATTCATGTGACACATAACACATAATAATGTATAGACACGCGACATGTATATATATATATATATATATATATATATATATATATATATATAAACACGAACTAAATTCATATTTTTCTAGCGTAAAAGTGGTATTAGACAATAATTGTACAAATTCGTGTAAATCGTTGTTTTCATGTAACATAGTTAAAAATAGGTCTATTCGTGTCATGTCATATGTCATACAAATTAATTGCATGTGTCCGTGTTAGCTACCCAAAACAAGTTTTACAATTCATGTCGTATAAATTCATGTTTGACATGTATACACAACACAAACAAACAAACAAAAAAAGAATTGTCATTTCTAGGTTTAAGTCGGTAGGTTTTAAGTTATTGAAAAGAAAGGTTAAGGAAAATTAATAAGAAAAAAAATTAACAATACTTTTCAAATAAAATCAAAACTATTGAGCCAAATATGTAATTAGGGGAGGTTTGTAGGTTGAAGTTGGGTCCGGATTAGCCTGGATCCGTTTGTGGTCGACCCAGGTACAAAAAAAGATGGTCGAGTGATCGAACCATCTACCTCCTAAAAGAACACGAACGCGAGTTCAATGGACTAACCGGTAGGCTAGGGAAGTGGTGTAATTTTCTTATTAAAGTACTAATAAAAACGCTAGATTAAATATAAAACTCTGAAATATCAATGGAGAAGGCAACATAAACCCGTGATCGTTGCCTTTTTGTCCTCTCTCAAACATGTAGTGTACAACTACATCTATCATGGAATAAAACATTCACTCGGTCAATTCAGTTGTTTTTAGCATTAAAATTAATAATTAATCATTTTTAATACAAATTTCTCATAACTCTGCTTCTCCATATTAGAATAATGTATAAATGAAAATGCATGACATGCGTCGAGAATATAACACGTAATGCGAGTTAGTAGTCTCACAAATTTTGATGTTCTTTTGCTCTCTAAAATATGGTTTCATCCAAATAATGGTGCCGCTTGATTACAAGGTTTATGGGTTATTGATCGTATTATATATATATATATATAATATATATATATATAATATATATATATATATATATATATATATATATATATATATAGGGGAGGGTTAATGCGAAAATGCAAATAATTTGCGAAAACGCGAAAACAAGAAAAACCTATGATATTGTGTCACCTCAACATTATATTTTGGAAAATAATTCATCCAAACTTTTAAATACATGATGATAATCGATGATAGATGAGAAATTGTTTCATATTAGCAAAGTATGATTTTCAACATTTTTATTATGAAAACATGAATTTAAAAATGATTAAGCACGTGAAAAAAAAATTATTATTAAAACCGTCTTTAAATCTATATTACCATAACACAATCCAAAGTAAGCTTACTATCTTTAATTTATTGCTAATAATTTTTTTTATAGTACATGTGTTTGATTTTTATAAGATAAAATCTGTTTTCGCGTTTTCGCAACATATTTATGTTTTCGCATGAACCTACTTCTATATATATATATATATATATATATATATATATATATATATAAAGTTATGAAAGATTTTAACAGTAAAGTGGCACATTTTTTGTCAATTTTGGTCCTCCAACTTACAACATTGACCCTTCATCTTTATGCTTTTGTTCACAAACAACCCTCCAACTTACAATAGTGACGGTTTGTCGGTCACTTTATCCCCACACCTGTAGGTAATCGATTCTTCCAGTTTCTTCCTTCCACCGTTCCTTATCCAATCCTTCCGTTCTTTTTCCTCTTTTCTTTGGATAATGTTCATCGCCACAGCCATCCAACAAGAATCACTGCTCCACCAAATTGAGGTTAAATAGATGAATAAATCGTTCAATTTTGGGGTTTTATTGAAGCATCTGGGATGAAGATATCTGCTCTCCACCGTGTGCCGTCGCCCCCCATGTGAAACCTTCGACCGGTGACCTTCGCACCCTACAGTTACAGGTTCTTCCTTCCACCGACCTTCGCACCCTACAGTTACAGGTTCGTTTTTCTTCAACTTTTTTCTGTTTTCGTTTGACGATGTCTCACCTCCCCCTTCTACATAGCTCTTGCTCGATCGAGTTGTTCCGACAGCGCAAATGTTTCCACTCTACCACACCACCAACTTCATGTTTGTTCTTTGCTTCCATATGTTTCGTTCGTTCACCACCTTCCTGATGAATTTGTACATCTAAACCGTTCATACAGTCCAGTCGATCATTTGGTAAGGTTTCGATTTTCAATTTTCACCATCCTTCTCGGCTTCTTCTTTTCTTTCTCTTTTTCTATAGTTTGATTGATTAGTTTTTTGAATGATACAAAATCGAGTACATGAGATTTGATTGTAGCTCTTAGGATGCACACCAATTGCTCGATAAAATGCTTGAAGCAAGTTTTTCAAATTTTTTTATCAGATGATAACAACCATAGGCATGGGGACGGGATTGTTAGGGAGTGATGCAGAGGGTTAAAGATCAGCAACTTTCAACATCTACAAAACCAGCAACCATTGTAATTGCACCCCAAGTGTTCGTTAAAATGTACAGGTTAGTTATTATTTCATTGTATGTCCCAGCCAAAACATATACTGAACTGTGTACAAAAAACTTCATTTCACCACTTGAAGATTTGATTCCCTTTTATTGTAAGCTCTTGGATCCAACCAACCTTACAAATCTTTTCCCTATCACCAAGTTCCTTGGATTGTTAGCTACTGGAACTACAGGTTATTTTCTCAATGATTTGCAGCCTCAAATCAAATATTTTTGTGTAAGGCAAGAATAATAACTAATAAATAATGTTTTGTACATATTTTCAGCTGATGCAAAGACATTGGTTCCACAGGCAAGAAATGAAGCAGCTGAGTTTCGTTGTAAATATGGCTATGAGATGGTTGTTTATGTATTAGCAAGATGGTATTAATCCTACAGTTTTTTTGAGTTCCGTTTATCAGATTATGTCATATCATTTTTTATGTTGATAAATCTATATGTTGCAGGATTGCTGACAAATCACAAGTTTATACTCAACATGCTTACATGAGACCACTTGGAGTAGGTTAGTTTCTAGATGTGAAGTTGTTATTAGTTGCTTATTTTTGTGAATGTGCATGATTTTGTTGATTTGTTTGAACTTTAGTGGCTATGGTGTTGGATATTGATGATGAGAATGGGTCTAAACTCTTCAAATGTGATCCAACAGGTCACTTCTTTGGATATTAGGTGTGTGGAATTTTGTAATGGATTTAGAAAAAGATATAAATTTGTTATCTGATGTAGTTTTTGAATTTTGTTTGTAGGCAACAAGTGTTGGATTGAAAGAGCAAGAGGCTATTAATTTCCTTTAGAAGAAATGGAAAAATGACACCCCCAATTTACTTATGATGAAACTGTACAGGTGAATTACTACACTTTCTTTGAGTTGCAACTATTGTGTAATTGTATTTAACATTGACATATGCTTGATGCATCCCATGTTTGACTGTAGACTGCAATTTCTGCTTTGCAATGATGCAATCTGTTCTACAAGAAGACTTCAAGGCCAATGAGATTGAGGTATGCCAAAGAAAAAAAAATCAAATTCTGTTCAAAAAAATAAAAGAAAATGATTTTTTACACATGTTATTTGGTATGTTTTCTGGTAGGTTGGAATTGTGAGAAAAGAGAAAGCAAACGATAGTCTCGAGATTTTGTGAGAGCACATGATCCGGTGTGGTACGCGTGACCAATGATCGGTGAGTTTTTGTTTTTTTTTGTTTTTGTTTTTGTTTTTGTTTTTGTTTTTTTTTGTTTTGTTTTGTTTTTGTGTATGTGTGTGTAGATTATGCATATGGGTCACCAATCTAATATTTTGTTTAAACCATCAATGTCGGGGTTAGGGTTATAAAAGATCTTTATCTTTTTGGAGATGTTGATGAGCAATGACGAAACTGTTGTTTTATAAATACCATTTCAGCAAAACGTGTGAATGAAGGTACAAACTTGCAATGCATAACAACATAAAGTATATATTTAAAGCTGCTTATTTATTGTTTTGGCATTATTAATTTGTGACTAAACTACCCCTATGTAAAGTTATTTTGTTCATATTACAATTTTGCTGAAAGACCTGTCGCATCCGACCCCCGCAACGCGGGGGTTCCCTACCTAGTATAATATATATATATATATATATATATATATATATATATATATATATATATATATATATATATATATATATATATGGAGTGGTTCAAATGAAAACAAAAAAAAGTTAAGAACTCTAAGAACCACTTTTTAATTTTTTTTCATTAAAGTTAATTTTAACAAATCAGACATTAATATTATATTAAGCATATTTTTTTCCTTAATTTCCAAGTAGTTGCTACTTGTCGTTGGACCGCCGTCGGACCGTTATCGGACTATCACCAAATTCAGTGGCACTTTTTTCGTCGTATTCACAGCTTAATAGAACAAACATTGTAGCTGTCATTTCTTTAAGAACACTTTTTAACACATACCATTTCGTTTTGCAGCCAAATATATAAAATTTAATAAAAAAAATAGAATTGTGCCTTGACAAATTCAAATTTCTCTTTTCTAAATGGTAGATTTGTTTAAAAAAATATATTGTTATAAGACATATTCACAGTTTAAAATACCATATTGACAGTTTAATAAACATATTAATTCTCTAATACACAGTTTAATATTTTCATGCACACACTTACTGATATTTTCACACAAAATTTATATAAATATACAACTTAATAGAATCCAGTTTTAGTTTAATATATAAATATCAGAACATAATACAATCCATTATTCACTAATTTACATATTCAGAAAACTCAAACCCAAACTCTACCACCACCAACTAATACTATACGCAACCGCCACCCATAATGCTACCATAATAACCATCATTCCTTCCAAATTAGATCTGCATATAAAATCATTGATTGACAACTTAAATATTATATTCACAATTTAATAAACTAATTAATTTGATTAATCGATGTTTAATGCAAAATAATTATAAAAACTTATATATTCTTAAATATATATATAAAACAAAAAATATTCATAAGAAAACTAATATAAAAATTCATACATAAATCATTCATAGTTTAACATAAAGTTCATTAAAAATTCATAACTTAATACAGTCAATTTACAGTTCAATACACAAAATTCACAACTTAATATAATAAATTCACAATTTAATGCACAAAAATTCTACATTCACAACCATATTCTCAACTTAAAAGTTATATTTATACCTTGAGATATATAGACTAGTGTTTCTTTCAAAGTTTATTTACATAAATATTCACAATTTTAATTTTACATACTTTATTCAAAATTATATAAAATCATATATGTGTATAATGGTTCTTTCATCTTATATTTTAAAAGCAAACAAACAATTTATAAAAAAATCACAGCTTAATACCAGTCAATTCACAGTTTAATACACAAACTTTAAAGCTTACTATAGTCAATTCACAGTTTAAACATAAAATCCACAACTTATTATAGTCAATTCACGGTTTAGACCACAAAAAATCACAGCTTAATTGTAACGCCCCGATTCTCAGGTATTGATTAAATAAGAATTTCTTTGATTTCATGGTCTACTCGACGAGTTGGTTGCCCTACTCGTCGAGTAGCAGCGAGGTGGTCCACATAAATTAGTGACCTACTCACCGAGTCCAAGAAGGGACTCGACGAGTAGAAGTTGGCAGATGAAACCCTAAATCCCGAGGTTTTGCACCCTATTTAAAGAATCACAATCCTCCTACAGCCTCTTTATAGTCCCTTGAGAGTCCAGAAAACCCTAATCCATGTAGTGCTTCATTCTTGTGTGTTTTAAGCTTTGGAAAGTGGATCTTTGAAAGAAAAACTTGGAGGATAAGAGGCTAGAAGCAAGGAAAGTGTGGGGGATCAGAAATCTACCTCAGTTAGCATCATTTGAAGGTATCAAGTCGTCACCTTTACCTCATTTCTTTCTAGATCTCATTTGGGTGAGGTTTAGGGTTGTTTTGGCTTGGTTATGATGATATTGTGGTGTATGAGCTAGATCTGAAGTTGCAACTTCAGATCTGGACCCTTCTTGGGTTCTAGGTTCATAAAGTTTCGAGCTTGGTCATGTTTGAAGCCTTCCTTGAGTGTAAAACTCTATTGTAAGCTTGGATTCATCATTAAGAGCCTTTAGAGCCATGCATGCACATAAAGTTTACAACTTTACGTGATAAACATGCCTTGGGAAGCTGGATCTACAATTTGGAGCCTTAGCATGGATTAAGATCGTCTGTATGAAAAAAGGACTGAAGAGACTCGGCGTTGTATGAACGACTCGGCTAGTCCAATGAAGATTGTCGTAGACCCGGCGAGTTGTATGAACGACTCGGCGAGTCCGATGAAGGTTGTCGTGGGCTCGGCGAGTCAGTCGAGTGACTCGGCGAGTCGGCGAGGGTTTTCCCAACCTTTGGACACGCATGAACTCAGCGAGATATAGGGAAACTCGACGAGTCAACCAAGGATTTCACGACTTCTCAAGTTCAGGAAGGACTCGACGAGTCGGTGAACTGCACTCGACGAGTCGAGTTAACATGGACTGTTGACTTTGACTATGGACTTTGACTTTGACCAAGGGTTGACCAGTTGACCTTTGGGGGCATTTTGGTAATTTGGAAATTTATGGAAAAAGGGTTTTATGGTAACTATAGGTGGTGGAGTTCATGTTGGTGATTCGAGAGTTTGAGCCTATCATTTTCAGTGCGACATTGTGAGGTGAGTTATCCTCACTATACTAAGGGGTCTAAGGCACCAAGGCCAGCCCATTGGATATGTTATCCTAGCAGTAGTTATGTTGCTTTATGAGTTAGTGTTGCATGCTTGCGGTTATGCCAGTTAGGTAGATCTGTAGGACTACCGGTGATGTTATATGGTTATTGCATGCTCAGTAGTTATGTTATATGATTTATATGCTATGTGGGATGGGTTGAGGTTGTACAGCTCCGTGCGGTAACCAACAAACCCTAGGAGCATTCCAGATACGGGCTAAGGGAGACTCGTACTGTGGGCTCGATGGCAATGCATATGTGAGCTGTGGGCCCAGAAGGCAATCCAGACTCACACTGTGGGACCAGGGGTAATCCAGTCTGTAAAGTTGTGGACCCGTTACATGCTGTTCAGTTTGTTATGTTATGATGTTGCTGACATGGTTATGTGGACTGTATGTGTAACGGTATTTTGGGGGTAACTCACTAAGCTTTCGGGCTTACAGTTTCAGTTTATTGTTTCAGGTACATAAGGGGATCGTGGCAAGGCAAAGGCGTGATCGTACAGCTCCTCCCTTTTTATGACTTTGTTTCTGGGATACTCTGATATGATACATTTTGAAAATAAGTTTTGTAATAGTTAATGGATTTGCAATGTTTTTAAAAAGTTTAAATTGGCTTGAATTTTTCGGGTGTTACATTAATACATAAAATTCACAAATTAATACAATAAAATCATAGTTTAATACACAAAAATATGCATTCACAACCATATTATCAACTTATAACTCTTAATACAGTCAATTTACAGTTTAATACATAAAATTCACGGCTTAATACAATAAATTCATAGTTTAATATAAAAAAAATTCACAGCTTCATATAATCAATTTATTGTTTAAACAAGAAATTCACAACTCAATGCAGTCAATTCACAGTTTAAAACACAAAATCATAGCCTAATAGATATCATCATATTTACACAAAAATCCATACAAGTTTCACAACTTAATTTAGTCGATTCACACTTAATATTGTTTATGCACAACTTAATACTGTCCATTCAAGTCTAATCACAAAATTCATTATAGTTGAATTTAAGATCCAACAGATATCCACATAAAATATGTGAAAAAAATAATGTATTCACCTTAAAACTTCAAGACCTCCACATTAAAACTGACAAATTAGGAGTAAACTAACATATTTGATATAGATTTAAAGCACACCAATGAAGATATGAAGTAAACCAACACATCAGAGAAAAACCGAGGAAGAATTTACTCAAAATAACAACAAAAAACTTATTTTCACAAGCTATGGAAGAACAAAAATGAGTGAAAATACTAAAAATATGTGAACAAAAGTAATAAAATGAGTGTATATGTGATATCCTTCAGATCTGGAACAAAAAAGCACATGAAGCTTGTCAATCTCGCAAGGTAACACCAACGACAGATAGAAATCACAAAACTAACACTTGAGAAAAGAGATTGTAGCTGTTAAAACTCAGATTCAATTAGATCTAACCAGATCTGAACAGATCTAGATTAGGAACACTATTAGAAACAAGAGAAAACCATCAGACTCTCATATCTAACCAGATATGAGCAAAAAGCGCCAAGGAAAGTCAACAGATTCACGAATCTGTCAACATACCACCGGACACGAAAAACGGAGGTGGTTGTTTGCCGGAGATCGCATAGATCTAGATCTAGAGATGAAAATAACAAACAAATTTCGCAGATCTAAGACATGAAGAAGACAAACCAGATCTGAAGAAATCAGATCTAAAATCATGAGCACGATGCACAAAAAAATGAACTAATCTGAGATGTTCAGGTGGTGGTCTGACATCGGAGGTGCTAACGGTGGTTTAACGCTGACGATAGTTGTTTCTCTCCAGATCTGATACATTTTTTCCATTT